TGAGAATATGAGTTGAACGGCAGAGCAAGCAGCAATGGAATTTGATTTACTTTTTATTCATTTATTTTATTATTATTATTATTATTATATTTTTTTTAAAAAAAATCAAACGGTATTCGGTTCAGTTTAATTTTTTACCGAACAATTCGGATCGGTTCAGATCGGTTTTTTATCGAACCGTTCAGTATACAAGTATCCAATACCATTCAGTTGTTCGGTAAATTACAGAACCAATTGGTTCGGTACGGTTCGATTCGAGAAAACTATACCGAATAGCCCACCCCTAAAGTTAATTACCAAAATGGTCCCTTGACTATAGCGAAATTACCAATTTGGTCCCAAGTTAACGGTTGACTAACGGTCAAACAAACGGAGGACCAAATTGGTTAAAATTTTTAAAGTTGAAGGACTTAATTGGTTAAAAAAAAATGGTCAAGGACCAAATTGGTAATTTCGCTATAGTCAAGGGACCATTTTGGTAATTATTTATATATATATATATATATATATATATATATATATATATATATATATATATATATATATAGTGAAAGGTTCCCGTGCGGTTGAATGCTTCCCGTGCGGATGTGCGGTGGATTAATGTGCGTGAGATTTGTACTCAATGTGCGTGAATGTTGTGCTTAATGTGCCTGAGATTTGTACTTAATGTGCGCGAATGTGTAAAATGCAGCAGAAAATATTGATGTCAGCTTCTTCCCCATCCCAGTAGTCATTTGCCCCCTCCCTGATGATGATGATGCGGAGGCGAGCTATGGTGGTTAAGAATTATGGGAATAATACAACAGAAATCCACACTTAGCTGCTGTGCAAATTTTACTGTGCGTGCGTCATTTATATAAACATTCAACTGCATTGAAGGTAGCTGATAATCTAGAATCCATGGCCAAATTGAAGGAAGAAGTAACAAGAAGCTTGGACGTTAATGTGCGTGAGTTTCTGTTCTGCTTCCTTCTGAGCTCGTAATTATGAAATACTCACGCACATTAAGCACAAATCTCACGCACATTAAACACAATACTCAGGCACATTAAGTACAAAACTCACGCATATTAACATGACGCACATAAGTACAAATCTCACGCACATTGAGTACAAATTTCACGCACATTAAGTATAAACCTCACGCACATTAATCCACCGCACATCCGTACGGGAAGCCACAAATGCACATGATCCCTTCCCTATATATATATATATATATATATATATATATATATATATATATATATATATATATATATATATATATATATATAGGAGTGATCACATGTGGCCATGTTGTTAGGTGTGGTCATATGGTCAATTATAGGCCATTAGATTAGATAGATCCAATGAATCATATTAATCAAGATTTTTCTAGTATTTTCGCGCACATTCTCATACCCAGCGAACTGCAAGGGTAAACTCGTCATAAAACACCGGAATATTAATCAAGATTTTGTTGTGTATTTTATTACACTATTGGTGCATGTTGTCAACACTGTTGGTGTATTCTGGAACCCGGCCGCTATAAATGGCCATTGTAATTACCATAACACGGGAATACACCATTGGTGTGCTTCACTGTGGTGTGTTTTATTACACTATTGGTGTATGTTGTCAACACTGTTGGTGTATTCTGGAACCCGCCTGCTATAAATGGCCACTGTAATTACCATAACACCCCCACTTACCAAAACGCACGAAAATCCTCAGAATTATCACTGCCGTTAGATTAAACTGATTCAACGACACAGGTACGACCACACGACCACACCTAATGACATGACCACATATGAGCGCTCTTATATATATATATAACATAATAAGTGTGAAGGAAGGTTATACCCTTCATTCATGTCCGTTTTTTTCCGTTAATTTTTTTTATACATTGTGCTATAAAGGTTGTACTTTATAATATTTTGAACAAACATACCCTTACCGTTATAACTTCCGTTATAGTTTCCACTATTGTTACCATGCACATGCATTCACCATATATTTTCTTATGTTCTTCAATAATAATAATATTTATACATTATAATTTGGAGTTATTTCCTACGATATAAATATCAAATGTATAAAAATATTTACACTATTATTATTATTATAAAAAATCTTAATATAAAATACTAATATTGAACACCTAATTTTTACGCATCGCGCATAAGAAAATACTAAGTATATATAAACTTCAACAAGAATTTAAGATTAACATTATAAAAGTACCAAATTGTCATGTTCGTTTTTTTTTTTTTTTTTTTTTTTTTTTTAATGAAAATCATAACAACTGACTAAATGTGGAAATATCAGCTTTAAGATTAACATTGTAAAATTACCAAATTGTCATGTTCGTGTTTTTTTAATGAAAATCATAACAACTAACTAAATGTGGAAATATCAGTTAAACTATATTGAACTAAATGCGATCAAATTAAAAGTTAAAAGCTAAATAAGCAATATTATAATATCCATGAGATTAAAATTGATTTTTTCCAAAAATAAAAATGCATGTCAATTGCCGATAACAAAAATAGAATTTATATTATGACATCAACTCATTTAGTTAAAACATCATTCAAGCTAAGCAATGATGTTACTTGGTAGAATGGTAGGTATAATTAGGTATCTAATTGATTATAATATTAATTATTATTTTAATGTAATATTGTAAAGACTTCTATTTAACATGCTGTATATTGACCTTTTGAAAAGATTATACCCTAATTTTGAAAATCTTAGCCTCTTAGCTCATATCATAAAATTTAACGAAAAAGGTAAATCACGAAATGTGTATTAATTGACATACATAACTCTTAAATATTTATATACTAATACTCATAATAGAATCGTTTCAGTCCCTTACACTTCGGGGCCCAATAGAACATGTGAGAGAATGTCTGCTCCAAATTTCGTGCGCACAATGGGATCTGTCAACTTTGGGCATAGTTCCTACAATGCCGCTGTCAAGTTCGAACCTTAGTCTCTTTTTCAAAACACTATCTATTGAACCAATGAGCTAAGTTCATGCGGGCTCCCCATTTGCTATTCTTTTTAGGATTCAAACCTGCAGCATACAATATCTAGGAAAGATATCAATTTATTTTGAGTTAATACCAATCGGGATCCTCTGAGTATAGTGGTACCGTAATGTTTAGTCATAAACTTTTAATTTAACTACTCGTGTCTCTTCAAATTTCAAATTTAACCAGTTGTGGTCTTTCTGTTAAGGACTATGAGTGATCAAATTTGAAAGTTGAACGATCGATTAAAATGGTTAAGTTTAAGACTAAACGTGACGATATCACTATACTCAAACGACACCAGCTGATATTAACTCTTATTTTAAATTAGTCAATAAAAAAAAAAGTAAATGTAATTGAGCGCGTGTGGAAACATTGGCTTGGGTAGTTGGTATGTGGGAGTGGAAGTGGATGATCCATTGCAACACGCAACAGCAAATGAGTTGGGTGGAAGGAAGCAACGAGGAGGGAGGATCACGACCCCCACGTGACCCCAGTAAAAACTGCCCAACCCATTTATTGCGCGCATTTTCCCTTTTTTATCCTCTAATCTGCGCCGTCCCTCCCCGTAACTTCAACCTCCACACCGGGATTTTTATGTAAAATCCACATTGCACTAACGTTATCCACACGCCCCGCGATGTTTCTTTTAATGCTTCTTTGACCCCACTTCTCTTACATAATTACTGTTTCAGCTATAAAAAAAATGGTCTATTTTCTGAACAAAAAAGTATAAATATTTTTTTGCTTGTTAGAAAGATAATGTAAGAAATATTGTTTATGGTATTTATTTTTAAAAAGTACTCCACCTGCTTCATTTTGTATTCCACATATACTTTCTTTTAGTCAAATTAACCTTTTTTTTCTTTCTTATTTTTAAATTCAATTTTTTGTATTTAATAAAATTTTAGTATAATTTTTTAAAAAAATTAAATTATAAATAATTTGAATCAATGCCTAATATTTGTATCATGCATTTATTTTGGGAATAGAAATGTGTGTGTTGTTTGTTAATTTTGTATTAGGGACATTTGACTTGGACCTCCATAGCTTTTGCCAATGTTAATTACATCCTCTTCATCATTCTATAATCATAATATAATCCATTCAAAATAATGACTTTTATGTCGTCCCACCCTTTTCATAAGTATACTTTACTTTTTTTCCCTGCACGGACTAACTTAGTGATTTAATAGGCAGAATTTAGGAGAATAGATCAAGGTTTAAAACTCCACAATGACAGTGTGGAGATATGTTCAAAGTGGACTAATTCATTGTACACACCGGCATTTGACTATGTCTGTTGAACCACTAAATTACTGTGATTTACCTCCTCCCACATGTTCTGTCCGGGCGGGATGTGAGGGCCTTTAGGGTTGAGAATTCAACATTTTGGAGAAGAAGTATACTTTATTTTTTTAAATTAAAACAAATTGTAAGAAAATGGTTTAGAATATTGAAAACCAGTAATTTACAACCCCTTAACATAAATCATTATATACAACTCACCTACAATTTGCATCTGACTTTAATACTCATTTAGTTATATAATTAATTTAATAATAATATTATAATACTCATCTGAAATTATTTGTTTTGATTTGTAAAAAAAAATGATTTAAATGTTGAGAGTGAGGGATTAAAATAGAAAATTGTTGGGCGACAGTTCAGAGAGTCGAGTCCAACATCTTATCATTGAAACGTGGCATTGACGGTTAAGCAAGTATATATATATAAAGTTGTGTTTCGCTATTAGTTATAACTTTTGATGTAGTAGTAAGCGTTTGATCTTGACAATATTATTTTACTAGATTATAAAGCTTCTATGTTAATTTTATTTATTTATTGAGGGCTAAAGTAAATTAGATAATGATTAATTAGGGGGTTGAAGTGCAAGTTTTAGAAGAAGAAGGTGTCCAGCTGCAATTAGCTTAATCTATTTTATTTCATTTTTCTTGAGCCATTTATAAGTCGCCGTTTGTTTCTGTGTCTTTCTGTCTCTGTGTCAGTAATTTCCTGCGAATGTCTCGTGATCTTCGTTATTGAATTCCGGCGGGTCTTACCGGAAATTTGGATTTTGTTCCAAAGCCGTTATTCTCAGAAAACGGGAAAAAAAAGATTGAAATTTTCCTGTCTAGATTCATCATGAGCAGCGTACATAACAGCGTGGATACGGTAAATGCTGCCGCCACGGCCATAGTTACCGCCGAGACTAGAACTCAGCCAGATACGATTCCGGTAAGTACTTTTGCAGATTAAAACAGCCGTATTTATATAGATGTTTATATTTTGTAGCGCTGTTGAATTGATGAACTTTTCGTTTTTTTTTTTAAATCCTTATTTACCGATTTTCTGAGTTTGAATTTTGTTTGATTCGATTTGGTTTTGAAGATGAAGCTACGTATCATGTTGATTTGTTTATTTTTCTGAAGTTAATTTAAGATGAAAGTCTGAAAAAAGTGACTTTTTAAAGAGGTAGTTGACACAGGAAAAGATGATTTTGGAAGTGAAATGATGATTTTAGAAAGTGAAGAGATGATTTTGGTAGAATAAAACTTTAGAATTCAGTGGTTGGGGCCTTGGGCACTGTTTTAACATTTTTCCTGCTGAATCTTGTGAGACACAAATCTGTCTGAAATTTCTATCATTTTGGGTCTCTTGTCACATAATGGACTGAGTACAAACATTTTTCTTAGACTGAAGAAGAATGGAGTTTCAACTTTAGTGGAGCCTAGCCTGCTTTCATTAACACTTAAATGTTAACCTAAAAGAGAAATTATATGGGATAATGGTGTTGGGCCAAATCCAGCAATTGGTGGCTAAGAGGATTGTTGGGCAGAGGCCGGTGAAGGGCCAAGTCCAGCACCCTGCCTCTCGAAAATGTGGTGGTAGTATATAAGGAAATAAAGTTACGTCTGAGCTATAGTTTTTGGCATAGTGGTAAGCGTTTGATCCTATACTTTATAAATCTGGAATGGATGATGGAGGTTGTGGAATGAAAAGCCCAGAAGGCTAGTTCAGGTCGAGTTGATGGTTTGGTTGTTCTTTGTTAATGACTTTTCAGCTTGAAACAGAATAGCAGATGACTGACAACTCGAAAACTGAGGCTTATGTTTGAATGTTTGATTAAAATGGGATGTTTACATGCTAGCTAGCTAGATTCAATGTTGATCACAGAGTTGTCTATGTTTGGATTATGCTTCATGTCATTTGCTCTATTTAACAGAAACAGTGTGAACTTTGTTTGTCTTTAAAATTAAAGTTATTTTAGCATCCTTTCTTTCACTTGTTGTTAATATGATTTGTGGTTTTATTTTACATCAGAAGAAAAAGTGGGGAAGTTGCTGGAGTCATTACTGGTGTTTTGGTTCATACAAGCACAAGAAACGAATTGGGCACGCTACACTCGTTCCAGAACCAACCGAGCCTGTAGCTACTGCTCCAATTTCTGAAAATCCCAATCATTCGGCTTCTTCCATTGTGATACCCTTCATAGCCCCGCCCTCTTCGCCTGCGTCTTTTCTCTTGTCAGATCCTCCCTCAGCTACCCAATCCCCTGCCGGATTACTTTCTCTTAAATCTCTGTCTTTTAATGCATATTCTCCAGGTGGGACTACGATTTTTACTATTGGTCCCTATGCTCATGAAACTCAGTTAGTCACACCGCCTGTGTTTTCTGCTGTCACCACTGAACCCTCTACTGCTTGTTTTACTCCCCCACCTGAATCGACACAACTGACAACACCACCTTCACCAGAAGTGCCGTTTGCTCAGCTTTTAACATCATCGTTGGCCTGCAATCGAAGAAACAGTGGAACAAACTTGCAATTCTCATTATCCCAGTATGAGTTCCAGCCTTATCAGTACCCGGGGAGCCCTGGTAGTCGTTTGATATCACCCGGCTCTGTACTGTCAAATTCTGGCACCTCTTCACCTTTCACTGATAAGTGCGCTATCGTCGAGTTATGTAAAGGGGAAGCTCCAAAGTATCTTGGCTACGAGCACTTCTCCACGCGAAAATGGGGCTCAAGAGTAGGTTCTGGATCTTTGACGCCGAATGGTTGGGGTTCAAGGCTAGGCTCTGGAACCCAGACTCCAAACGGTGGCCTTTCAAGGCTTGGTTCTGGAACGGTGACACCTAATGGTGCAGAACCTCCCTCGCGAGACAGCTATTTTCCAGAGAGCCAAATTTCTGAGGTGGCATCACTTGCCAATTCTGACAATGGATATGAAGATGAGGACATTGCAGTTGCTCATCATCGAGTTTCGTTTGAACTAACTGGGGAAGAAGTTCCAAGTTGTCACGAAAAGGAGAATGCCATACCAGAACCTCCAGAGAATAATGCATCACTACAAATCTCTTCTTGCCCAGCGGGTTGGTTAATGGGAGCAGAGAACTCTTACCAGTCTTGTCTTGAAGAAAGCACAAACACTATCCCTGGTAACGCTCTAGAAGGCGGTGGAGAGCAACACTGTCAAAAGCACAGAAACATCACACTGGGTTCAAGCAAAGATTTTGATTTTGACTATGTGAACCCAGAAGCGCTGGACAAGTCTGCTGTTGATTGTGAGTGGTGGACTAGCGATAAGGCTACCGAGAAGGAATCAGATGTTCAGAAAAGCTGGACTTTCTTCCCGGTGCTGAAGCACCACGAAGTGAGTTGAGTTCAAACATGCTGTGCTTGCACGGGCTTAGCTCACTGGTTCAGTAGGCAGTATTTGGGAGAAGAGTTCAAACATGCCGTGGCTAGATGCTCCACCGCTCTCACGGAAAAGAGAACGTAATTCTTTTCTGCATTCTTGGAACTGTAAGCTGGGAATGAATTTTTGGAGGAAAACTTTTTTCTTAAAGCCTGTGAATAATAGTGTATACTTGTTGGAATCTTGGATTAAACAGCATAGCATCATAGCTGGAGAGATAGGTTCAGGTTTCTCACTTTGCAAACAGAAAGGTTTGTGGTGAATTCAATAGGGTACTTGTTTTTGAGTGTTCCTTTCAATAATATACTATATGGGTTTCTTGATGTATACACCCTAAAGTATGTGTTTGAAATAGATGATGTAAATTAATATTAATGGATTGTACTATTCCTTTTACTAGGGAATTACCATTTACCAGACTACACCCAAAAAAAAAAAAAGTTTTAGCTAATAATTTCTTCAACTCAAGTAGCATTTATTGTAGCTTGTTCAATCGTCATACTGTGTACTATGGTCCAAATTGAGTATACTGTATGGTGGAATAATTACAAACGGACCTGGAGCGGATTAATATGGAGCAGACCAAGTCCGAAGCATCGGAACTGAATTGGACCTAGGCCGAAGTCGGCCAAGGCAAACCATGGCCGGGGTCGGCCATGGTGAGGTCGGCCACACCAAGGTCAGCCTCTTGGCTAAGCTCCGTGCTTGGCCAAGGGGTGGGGTATTCGCGTTGTTCGAGTCTCGCGGCGCTCGTTGCGGTCCAAGACGGTTGGGACGACTTCCCACCATTTTCTCTAGAGTTGTTATGGCGAAATTGGGTATAAAAACACTCATTCATGTCCTATTGAGATACGACTTATCCTAATCCAACACTTTGTCTTGTTATTACACAATTGAGTTAATATCATCTGAGGTCCTCCGAGTATAGTGATTTTGCCATGTTTAGTCTTAAACTTTCAAATTGACCATATGTGGTCCTTCGACTTTCAAACTTAACCATTCGTGGTCCAAGTTAACCACCTATGGTCCTTCAACTATTAAATTTTAATTAACCAACCATGGTCCTTTCATGAGGACCACTACTGGTTAAATTTCGAAACTTGAAGGACTTGGGTGGTTAACTTGAACCACGAATGGTTAAATTTGAAAGTCGATGGACCACAAATGGTTAATTTGAAAGTTTAGGACTAAACGTGACAAAACCACTATACTCGGAGGACCTAAGATAGTATTAACTCTTTACACAATTCCTACATTTGTAATAGTATTTTATATTCGATTAATACAATATTTGTCCCCGTGACTTATATTCGTTCGTATTTCGTCCTCTTATTATATTACAATTCTTCGTTGTCTTTATCATAACCTATACTTGTCATTTCTATTATTTAATCGGGTTAATTAATTCGGACTCCAAGTTAATATATTCCATCATTAGTGCTTTCATTGAGAGCTCGACGTCAGGCTCGAGTGTGCTATTAATCCCTAGCTATGACAAGATCAAGATCAAACACCTGCAATTCCCATGATTCACATAACACCTGTAAGGCTGTAACCCTTCCCATACCAACAACTTCAACGGGGCAACGGCGAGTCGGCAAACCCTATCGAGTTTGCCATCTGCTAAGACATTGTCCTTCTCCTATATCAATACTACCCCAATGGGACGTTGGCACAGTTTCTTCATGAATCTGCAAAGAAACCCGAATTCAAACCTGACTGGCCAACAAGACTCTCTATTGCCATCGGCTTGGCTGAAGGGTTGGCTTTCCTTCATCACGTTGCCATTATTCACCTGGATTTTTCTCCTGTGATTAATGATAATCTATTTGCCCTGTCTTGAATTACTACTTGATTAGCAATGGAGAACATGATTTTCTTGAATCTTGAAAAAAAAAAAAGAACAATCAAAATACTATAGAATACAAGCAAAATGAAGTTAGAAGTTCAAACCCACAAGCATACAACAATACCCTTTAAAATGTTGCCTTGAATGGAGGCCAATCGAGATTCGATTGGAATTGCCCTGAATGAAGGCCAATCGAGATTCGATTGGAAGGTAGTTACTAGAATAGAGTCCAATCAAGATTCAATCAGATTAATCTTATCCGATGGAAAATGTAAATAGGTAAAAGAATTGGACTCCAAAATGGAAGAAGGCTGCTTAACAATACAAAATTCCATTTCCATAAAAAATTTGGTCACCATAGGCAACTCAGTACAAAGAAAGAGCTCGGTACAAAAGAATAGAATGTTTGGAAAGACACTGCAAAAATTTATTTAAATTACACTCCTGAATTGTGTTCATTGAAGTGAAGTTGAATTAAGAAAGTCATGTGAATCCAATCTATCATTGCTTGAAGCACAATCGCCATCTTATGCATTCAAACTGGAGATGGCAACATTGCAACTAGATCGACCATCATTCTTTTGGCGGCTGATGGGATTCATAACAACCGGGCCGGGGGACCTGCAGTGCGAGGCCAAGCCTGGAACTTCTTGTCGGTTTCTTCCCACCAAATCATTGTTTACACCAGTTTTTGGGGCCGTACCTGATTTCAAATAACAAAAGTATACATAAGGATGTCTTAAACACTTTATTTTTTAATTTTGGACTACATAATTTTAGAAAAACATCAAAGAAAAAACATTGACAACATATGAAGACAAAAATCATGGTCAAAGTATGGGCATTATATACCTAGGAAATGGGCAAGGCCTTCAAGATCCTTTGGATTGCTAAAGGCACCAACCCCAACATCCATGGAAGCAGCACACTGCACACAACGCAGGTTAAAGCATTGATTACGTTTCAATCCAAGTCTAGAGCATTAATTAAAATTCAACGAAATGAGTTCCCGGCCCCTAAAATACAATTGAAACATATAATAATTATTTCCAAAATTGAAACCTTGTCAGTTTCATGATCGCTAATGAGAAGGACATACCTCCAGAGAATTCGGAAGCACGATTCTTCTGTACTCCCGTTTGTCCGTTCGAGGCTTCGTTATCTCAACCACATCTTCCCTCATTCCAACAGCTATTCTCTTCCTCCACTGCCGTCAACCCGCCTACTGGGAAGCCAAAATCACCAGTAGTCGCTGCATGAACAGGCTCCGTCCTGAAAACAGTGGAAGCGACTTGAATCCCGGATGATTATTCTTCTCTGCACAATCTTTGAGATATATTTCATGGCGGTATGGCAGTCAACACAAATCCGTAGATTCTTGAAGACCTTAATTGGTGTTCCGGGCGGAGTAGAAATAACGCCAAATGCAACTGCAAGCTTTTCGCTGTGATAGGATAGGTTCTGCTCTTTCTGCTCTTCTTCAACATCGTGTAGCACCATATCTGTGTCCGGGATATAGCCATCTTCTTTCATTTTCTTTGAAAGTTCAGCCAAGAACGTGTATATTTCTTTAGATCTCGGATGTGAATCATCACCAACTAAGAAAACATGGACTTTCCTCTGGGCATGAATCCAGCTCTTACCCGGTTTCTTTACCACTCCTCTATCATCCATGGTTCTTCTAATCTTCGCCACTTCATCCCATTTACCAGAGTTCGCATACATGTTTGCAAGGGTGACATAAGTAGCTGCATTATCAGGTTCTATTTCAAACAGTGCTTCAGCTGCTCGTCTTGCAACTTCAAGGTTTCCATGAATTCTGCAGCCACCAAGTAAAGAAGACCATAGGAACTTATCGGGCTTCATTGGCATTTGATTTAAAAGGTCTTCGACCTCTTTAAATCTTCCTGAACAACTCAAGAGATCAACCACACAAGCATAATGATCTTGAGTATGTGTTAATCCATGTTTTTCCTTTATCGAGTGGAAATACTCAAGCCCCTTATCAACTAGCCTGGCATGGGTGCATGAAGAAAGAACCCCAATAAAGGTAATGTGATCAGGCCGAATACCAGATTCTAGCAGCCGCTCAAAATACACAAGCGCCTCGAGGGGTTGACCATTTTGGGCAAAACCATTGATAAGTGAAGTCCAAGAAACTAAATCAGGTCTTGGAAGCTGCTTAAAAACATTATAAGCACTTCCAATATTTCCACATTTGGCATACATATGAACAAGGGCACTTGTAGCAAAAGCAAGAATATCATACCCATACCGCACCATGTAACCATGAATTTGTTTACCCAAACACTCGGTCGTTTGACATGCACAGGCATTCAAAAGCCCAGCAAATGTAAACTCATTTGGCATAAAGCCCGAGTCCAACAAATTCGAGAACAACGAAAAGCCCTCCTCCCATCTCCCATCCTCAAAGTACCTATCAATCATTGCTGTCCAAGAAACCACGTCTTTATCCAACGTCCTATCAAAAATGTGCCTTGCTTCATCAACGCTCCCACATTTTCCATACATGTCAGACAATGCACTCCAAACAGCAGCATCTGTATCCAACCCCGTCCTCATAATATGGCAATGAATCTCCTTCCCCAGCCATAAAGACTGAATTGAAGCTGAAGCCGCCAGAGCACTAGAAACTGTAAATTTATTAGACTTACAGCCCTCATATCTCTGCATCACTCCGTACAACTTCAGTGCATCTTTAGGCTTGGCATACCTAACATAACCTGAAATCATGGCCGTCCAAGAGAAGTTGTCTCTCTCGGGCATTTCATCAAACAATTTCCTCGCATCCTCAATCAACCCAGCTTTCGCGTAACCAGAAATCAAAATATTCCAAGAACACAAGTCCCTCTCACCCATTTCATCAAACACTTGACGGGCTTCCGAGGGTCTATCACATTTGCAATAAAACTCAATAATTCGATTGGAGATGAAAACCCCGGGCGTAAAATTAGATCTTTTTAAGTGGGCGTGCACTTTCCTCCCCTCCTCAAGCGCTCGCTGCTCAATGCAGAGCTGGAAAAGTGCCGAGTATATGGCAGCAAACGGGTAGCCAATTTCGTTTTCAAGTAGTCGAATGGCATCTTCTAAACGCCGTTTCTGGCAGAGTATATCAAAGGCTTCCTTGAATTTCTTCTCCCTGCACAAATGGGTGATGAATGCATCTTTGTTATCTGATTTAAAGAAAGCCTTTTGAGGGTATCGAGTCTGCTGATTCGATAAAGAAGAATAATGCGAAGGGGAGCTTAGAGTCGTCTGCAAATGGGTGAGGCGTGAAGGATGATAGTGAAGACGATGATGCGGTATTGAGTTGAATAGTGATCGGAGATGCAAAGCGCGTTGTCTCATTGTACATATTGCCAGAGTCAACAGGGCTGTTCCAATTATATAAATATTGTATAAGAAATAGTTGACAAATATCTTTTGTAAAATGTTGATTAAAATCTTTTAGAGAATTTATTTTTATGATCATTATTTATGAGTTAATTCCATTTTGTTCTAGATTTATAGATGGTAGCTTATTTTTAGTTATTTTTATTAGAACATTCATTTTTTGTCCTAATATTATTATGACATGACCAATTTTGATTCTCTATCAAACATAATCGTTAAAATTTCATTAAATACAAGATATTTCGCTATTAAATGTTCACATCATCTTGCAAGTGAAAACATTTTAGAATAAAGATAACCTTTGAAAGAAAAAAATTTGTTGTTCGTTATCTTCGGATTTATATTAATGCATTAAGCTTTTGTTTTCAAAGAAAAAAAAAAAGTTTTGGTTGCACTAACGGATAGCACAAAAGACAATAAATCTTTGCAGTATCAATTTTGATTTAAGAAAATCCCCAGAAAAACAAAAATTGTGACTACTAGACAATGGATAAATATGCCCTGTAAGTGGATGCAAACTTTTCAAATATTATAGTTATGATGCAGAACAGATTTAAAGATGGAAGAACACATACATTTGCCAATATATATATATATATATATATATATATATATATATATATATATATATATATATAATTTGATTGTTTAAAAGGATAAGAATCATAAGATGAGAAGCAATCTTGCGAGGCATAATATTCCTAACACCAACTAACTGGAATTAGGGTTGTTAACGAATTGAACATAAACGAACGGAGGTTGTTCGTGTTTGTTTATTAAGAATTTTGGAGTGTTCGTGTTCGTTTGTTAAGATCTTTGAAAATCCTGTTTGTGTTCGTTTGTTAAGCGTTCATTAGTGTTCGTTAACGAACATGTTCGCGAACGTGTTTGTTAATGTTCGCAAATATGTTCACGAACGTGTTCGTTAACGTTAACAAACACGTTCATTAACAAGCACGTTCACGAACATATTAGTTTACGTTTATAAATACGTTCGTGAACCTTTAATAACCAAACACCTGCACATGTTCATGATTACAATTTGTTCGTGAACAACAAATAATCTACATTCAAGAAATAATCAATGTTCACGATCACAATATAATCTATGTATATATATGTTTGTGAACATGTTCGTGAACATTATGTTGGAGAAAGTGCTTGTAATCTGTAATACATTTGAAATACAACAAAATACAGAAAACAACAAGGAACAAAAACTGGATCATTTGATATCTTCAGGCGTGTAATCACTTTTCTATAAGCTTTAAATCTCCCCCTATAAAAGCAACAAGGTTCAAGATTTAATCTTATGAGATACAAGAAGATGAATGAAATTCTTAAGTTGCTTTGTTTCAGAATTTCCTGTAGAATTGTAGAACTGTGAAATATCAAGATTAATGCAAGTTTATTGCATGTATCTTTTCAGATGTTTCTCCAAACTATTTATAAATGAAAATATGACTGTTGGAGAAGTTACATGGAAGTTTTCTGCAGTTTTAAAAATTTATCTTCCATAAAATATATCTTAAATGATATATTTATCATAAGAGAATATTAATTACATAAATTATGTTCAACATGAATATATATGTAATTATGAACCTTTGTAAGGTTGTGAACCACATGCAAATAACTGTGCAAATATATATATATATATATATATATATATATATATATATAAATTTTCTAGCACACTTTTGCATGTAAGTTTGTGAAATTGGAAGCTTACGTGTGGTATAATATTTTCCAAATGAAATACACAATTTCCCTATATTGAGGAATAATCCCCCAATGTTGGGGAATTGACAAAGCCTTCCAGCAAACTCATTCTCTATATTAACTTTCTACCAAACTAAAATAATATTTATAACTCCACAACTCCAAATATTATTTAAGCTTTCATGGTAGTCCATCTGAACCATTAATCTCCATTACTATATAAATTTCCAACACATTATTAAATGAATACTAAACGAGCTTGTTCACGAACATTATTAAACGAACACAAACGAGCTTGTTCACGATCTCTTAGCAAATGAGCGTACAACTGTTCAAGCTCTGTTCATTTATTAACTGAGCTCTAAATTTTGTTTGTTAATGGCTCGTTTACCTTAACAAACGAACATAAACGAACGCTTACCGAATACGAACACGAGTAGTTTGCCGAAAGCTCTGTTCGCTAACATCACTAACTGGAATTTAAGCAACTTCTTCAAATCATATAATTTGATTATTTAAAAGATAATAAGAGAAGTAATCTTGTGCACGTAATATTCCTAACACTGTCTAGTTGGAATTCACATGACTGCTTCAATAATCAACAATATAGATATAGAGTAAGACATACTAATGAGCTGGAGGAAATTCAATAAAGTTGCACCATGTTTTGAATAGAGTTACACATTCTATAGACTGTAATCATCCATACATCTTTTCTTCATTTAGTTGACTACATGTTTCTACACTGGATAAGGAGGACAGGTGGAAAAGTGTACTCAACTTGACCTTTCATTATATTCTCACATAGTTTTAGAATGTGGTAATACATTACAATTACATGATAACTAATGAAAGTTTAAATTAGCCTCACTTTAATTTCATCATATAAAAGGATGCAAATTAGCAATATTTTCTAGAATTGGCATTGCAAATAAAAGGTGTTAACCAATGCTCTGAACATGCATTGACATGAATTTGTGTGAATAAGAAAGATATTCACCTCACCCTTGTACATGCCTCATGTGCTACACATATTCAGGATTTCATAAAAAAATCAGCCCCTATCCAAAAAAAATTAGGATTGCTAGTTATAACGGCCATGGCTGCCATCTTCTTCGTCTCCCGCATGGGCAGATGATAGCTTTTTATCATTTTATTTTTTAAAAATTTATATTAATTATTATTATTATTATTTAAAAAATTCCTCATCAGCAACTTACTTACAGGTAATTAACCTGTTGTTAAGTTTAAATGCATAAAAGTAACAAGTTAATAAATTGAATTTTTTCGACGGCCATGACCGTTTGGAACGAGGGCGGCGGCCAGTTCTCGTTTCAGGCCGTTTGAGGTCCAGATCTGGACCTCAAACATGACAGGCTGTCCTCGCCGGACAGCCACGACTGTCTGTGAAATACTACTCACATCGACTGTTCCGCGGTTGTCGGACAGCCGGTGGCTGAATTTTTTTTTTTTAATTATTTTATTAATAATTGAATTGGTAACCTGTTAGCAACCTGTAAAAAAGGTAAATTACCTGAAAAAAAAATGGCAATTAAACAAATTTAGCTTAGTTATATTGAAGAACAACGCCTATTGCTCTGGCGTTATACAGATTTCCTTGCATATTTGCTCCTCCGGCGAGTAAATGATTCTAGTGTAGCGAGCCAGCAACTTCTTCTCCGGACCGCCGCCTCGATCTGCCTTTATCTTTGGGTCAGCAGCTGCATCGATCATCGTCCTCCACTCATAAGTCGTCAGTCCACGCGTCTTCTGTTTTTAATCGCTTGAGCTTCGCCCCTTCTCACCTTTAATTTGTTTCTGGCTCCTCCCTCACGCACAGTGCATTGCAAATTGACCACATCTTCTGATGCGCACAACCTGTTCGATAAAATGCTGAAGAGAGCAATAGCGAGAGAAAACTACACTTCTACTTTCAGACATCATCAGAAGCGAACTCTCGTAAACGCAAAGGTGAAATGGGTAAAAGACAGTGTCTTAGACAGGGCAGTAGCCGGTGGGAGAGAACTCCAGGCCGCCTCTATTCTTCTTTCCCTCATTGGCTCAGACCCCCACCATTGGCTTCCCATTTATCATCTCCGTCGCTATCGCGGCCAGCTTGGCCTCCCTCTTCACCTCAAACTTTCCGTTTTTCTTAGACGATACCCCAGCATTTTCCAGGAGTTCTACCGTCGTGATACCGGAGGAACTCCGGTTCCTTGCTTCAGATTAACTTCCCAGGCACTAGAGCTTCACCAAGAAGAAGCTGAGATACGCAGAGAGTGTCATACAGATATAGTTAACAGGTTGAGGAAGCTTCTTATGCTCACCAAGGAAAGAATGCTTCCTCTGCAAACACTTGATCAGCTGAAGTGGGATATGGGTTTGCCGAGTGATTACCAGAGATTGTTTACCAACAACTCCTCTTCAGATTTGTTTTCTTTTGTTCGTCTTTGCGATGATCGTTTGGGACTAAAGCTATTACTTTGGGATGATCGATTAGCGGTTTCCCATTTAGAAATGAATTCTGTGATGAAGAATGGAGCATTGGCTTTTCCCATTGGATTCCCAAGGGGTTTTGGGTTGAAAAGGAAGTTTATGGAGTGGTTGGAGGAGTGGCAAAAGCTGCCTTATACTTCTCCTTTTGCAGTAGATTTGGCCTCGCGTTTGGATCCCCGCACTGATGTTTCAGAGAAGAGAATTGTGGGAGTGTTTCATGAGCTTTTGCACCTTACATTACAGAAGAGGACAGAGAGGAAGAATGTGAGCAATCTTCGTAAACCGTTGGGATTGCCCCAAAAATTCACCAAAGTGTTTGAGAGGCATCCTGGGATTTTTTACATTTCTAAAAAGGGTGACACCCAAACTGTTGTCCTCAGAGAGGCTTATGATCACAGTCAACTCATTGAGAAGCACCCCCTTGTTGGTTTGAGGGATAAATTAGCAAGTATGATGAATCAAGGGTTTTTGGATCGTAGTCGGGGTTTGTATAACAAGGAAACCAAAGGAGGCTTTGAGGAAGATTCATTAACAAGTTGTTTTGTTGGTGAAAGAACTAGATATGCATCTGATGAAGACTCAGATTTTAATCTCCTTTCTGAATATGAATCAGACTAAACCATATGACATTGTGAAGTAATAACTGCAGCCTGACATGATTGAATGCTACATGATGAATAAGTACATTGTTTCTTATCCATATGACAATGGGGTTCTGATAGCAAATGGCGTGTTACTTTCAATCACCTGAGCTCTCATGGTCATGGTAAGAACATTTCCATTTTTTTACGCCCAATAGAAGTGCATCAACCTAATCATGTGAACCAACTTATGTGTTGTTTAAATAAATTTCTTGATTTGCTATGTTTTGCCTTGTACTCACAATATTCACGAGTAATCTCCAATGTGTACATATTGCACAAATGTATGGGATCTTTTACATCGTTACTGACTTCTCCTATCAAAATTAGTACCATACCATTTTGTTTTGTATATGAAATATTCTTCATACATTCATCTTTGGATTGCTTTGAGATATGCACACTAAAAATGTGTACATTTTCTTCTTAGTTGATTATCATTAGAGAACCCTGATTCATTGGTCTGTATAGATTCATATCCTCGTATAGTTTGCATACTCCTTTAGCTAAAAACTTTTAAGTTTGACAAAATAATGTGGCTGCATTTATGTGTGAGTTTTGATTGCTGCTATCTGCTATATGCTATTTCCTCTGCACTTTCTTCACATGTATATCTACCCCTATGAACATCCACATGAAATTAAATAGCAAGCAGGGATTGCATTTTACCTTTTCTGATGACAGCTTATATAAACTCAGATTTTTTGGAGGGACAAATGTCGCGAGGTGCTTTTTCAAGTAAAAGTAGCAAGATATCCGGATTTAAGTGAGAGAGCTGGTGGAAATAAGTCATTCTGGATAGGTAAGTCAAGATTTTGATGTAACATCTTTCATTTTAGTCCTAGGATGACCCTAATCCAACTGTTGCTCATCTGGTGGGGGAAAAAAAAATGTTGTTTAGTATTACTCATGGTTGATCACTTATCCATGCTGTTATAGTTGATTCCTAACAGGAAAATACTACTTGGACTCCCTAACATGGCAAGGTACTTCTTGGTTACAGTCAAAGCAATAATTTAGAGATTGCAGCAAGGCATTGCTTTGAGTGGCATCTTTGATGGAAAGGTATTTACACAGTTATCATGTTCCAATTAGGCATGAGAAGTTCAATAATCAACACTTTGAATGTAAAGAACACACAGTTTTTATGTATTTGACTATTTGAGTGTTGGATATTTGGTGTATTTTTATAATCTGTGAGTTATATATTTCGCGAATCAAGCTGAAAACCAACAAGAGTTTGGTGGTCAATTAAACACTAAATAGAAGCAAGAGAAAGCACCCTAACTCTATTTTTGTGTCCTTAAGAAGTGGGCAATCGGAAAATTAATTATGATTTGAAAGAAATCAGGTCAACCCCGATCCAAATTATTTACAGAACAGATTATATTGGTTCAAGCCTCAAGTATTAAAAAAAAAAATTGATTTCTAATTTAACATCAAATTCAAATAGGAATAAAGGTGAAATAGACTCTCGAAGACAAATGTAATTACGCTATCCAACTACAAAAAACTCTAATTAAGAAAAATCTGTTTTTACAGGTAAAGACAAGTTAATCCTAATTTGGATGTCATCTTAGTGTATTTTTATTTATTTGAATGCCTATTATTATTATTATTATTATTATTATTATTATTATTATTATTATTATTATTATTATTATTATTATTATTATTATTGTTATTGTTATTGTTATTGTTATTGTTATTTATTTTTTAAAAATGTACTAGAGTAAATTACAAATAAATTATTACTTATGTGCACAATATATATACATGTTATTATTACGTATTTTGTTTTGTAATCAAACAATACACTAAAATGATTAAAATAGCTATAATGTATTTAGTAATATTTTTTTTAATTAACTTTTGTTATCTTTTACACATTTAATATTAGTTTAATAAATTTTTGTATTTAAAAATTAAATTTGTAAAATAAAATTAGAAAATTGAAGAAATGAAAAATTTGAAAAATAGAGAATGAAGATTGAAAAATAAGAAAATAAGGGTTATCAGGCCTTCATCTTACATACCCAAGTTGGCACTCTCCATGTCCCACCGATGGTGATCTCGGAGCAGCGCCACCTCCTCCGCTCATAGCAGCTCTTCTCCATCACGCCTCCTCGCTGGAGAGGTTCAACTCCCGTTTCCACTCCCTCTCCTTCTCCCTGTCCCTCAACTCCGCCTCTCCTTCTCCCTGTCCCTCAACTCCGCCTCCACCTGTTTCCTATTCTTCTCCCTCCAATACTCCTCGTAGTCGTTTGGACGGGCTGGATCATACTCATCTATTCTTCTCCCTCCAATACTTCTCGTAGTCGTTTGGACGGGCTGGATCATACTCATCTACAGCGATGCTGGTAACGACAACCAACGCTGGCTGGAACGACACTGCCTAGTGCGCAGTAGGATTTGGAATGGCATTAGAGCCGTTAAAACAGGTTTAGCCCGCCGTGTTAGCCCGTCCCGCCCTGCGAAAAGGGTGGGGCGGACTTTGATAGTTTGGGCCCGTATTTTGGCGGGCTTTTTAGCCCCCCGCCGCCTAACCCGCGGGACTTTGGCGGGGCGACGAAGGCCTGCCAAAATTCATATATATATATATATATATATATATATATATATATATATATATATAAAATCAAGTTAAAAAAAATTAGTATATACTTATTACATTTTTTAATATTAATTTTTATTCAAATTTAAATTTTTTAAAATTTGGTGGGCCCCCGTCATGGCCCACGGGCTTAAGGCGGGCCGACTAATCTTAGGCTCGTATTTCGGCGGGCTTATGCGGGCCTCACCACGCCGGCCCGTTTCGATAGCTCTAATTGGCATTCTCGTTGGTCGGGTTGGGGCTAGGTTTGGGAGGCTTGGGCTTGAGTAGGATTTGAGGTCGCTAGCAATCATCGATGGAATTTCCGGTCAGGCATGGTTCATTTTCCTTCATCGACAACAAAACCCTCCTCGAAACAGATTCATTAACTCTGTGTCATTTCCGCCACACCTTCCGCTTCCACCACAATCCTTGTCGTTTCCTCCACCTCGACTCCCCTTCTTCGCCGCTCAGGGCTTCTCCGGCGATTAGCCCTCATCTCCGCCACACCTTATGCTTCCACTAGAATCCCCCGTCGTTTCCTTCGCCTCGGCCCCCCTTCTCCGCCGTAGCCTTGTCATCTTTCTTCTCCGTCTGTTTTTCACCCCTGTTCATTCCTCTTCTACCGGGGATGGGGACGGGGCCGGGGACAGGGACGGGGTTGGGGTTTCGGGGACGGGGCCACGGGGTTATACTCCCCGCCCCCGCCCCGTTGCCATCCCTACTGTAAGTCCATGCACCTATACCCTCGGAATGACTCAGGATATCCTAAGAAGACACATGGAGATGAACGATATGACATTTTGTGACGGTTGTATGGTCTATGGAACAGAGGCACGGGCTACGAGAGCTAAACCCGTTTCAACTATGTGTCTATGCTTTCGTTCGACACGATCATTTTGTTCATGAGTGTAGGCACAAGACTGTCTATGAACAATTCCTAATTGAACAAAAGAATGATGCAACTTTTTGTATTCAGCTCCTAGGTTAGACTGAATGGATTTTATTATTTTTTTTTATTGAAGGAGCGTTCAACCATTATACGAAACTTATCAAAGATGGCATACAAATCTGATTTTAGTTTCATGAGAAAATACCAGGTGTAGCAGGTATAATCATCCACGAAAATAACAAAATAACGATAACCATCAATAGACAATAAAGGAGCTGGACCCCAAATATCTGTATATATTAAATCAAGAACACTAGTGTTAGATGACTCAACACGTGACAGTGGAAATTGAGAAGATTTGCCCAATTGACACGTTGAACATAAACTGGAATTACAACGAATAGTACGACTAGAGCCACTAACCGAACAATACTGAAGAATTTGAGTAAGGACACGTTGATGATGATGACCCAAACGATCATGCCAAATCGAAGCGGTAGCACGAGCAGAGAGAAACACGGAAGGAGACGAATTTGGAACAAGTAAAGTGTATAGGCCACCCGAACTACTGCCCCGTATGAGAATTTCCTTGGTGGTGATATCTTTCACAAGAAAAAAAAAAAATGAAACTCAAATTAAAGAACACATTATTATCTGTAGCAAAACGTTGAACAGATAATAAAGAGGTAGACAGACCAGGAACATGCAATATATTAGACATCGTAAAAGACCTAGAAGGGATATCAAAAGTAGCATGACCAACATGACTAATAGATAGGCCCATACCATCACCGACACGTAAAGTGTCATTACCAGTGTACTTGTCCGAGGTAGAAATGACAGCTATGTTTGGAGTTGCATGATTTGTGGCTCCCGTGTCCGGAACCCAAGTATGAGAATTTGACGATGTTTTAGTTCCCAAACCATCCTGAAACACCAAATTAGCCTGAGAACCCGAAGTTCCTGAATAACGCCGAAAACAATTGGCTCCGTGTGACCAAAACTTTTACAAATTTGACACGGATCATCATAGCGCAAAAAACAATTGGCTCCCTGTGACCAAAACCTTTATAAATTTGACACGGATCATTATAGCGTCAAAAACAATTAGCTCCTGTATGACCGAAATCATTACAAATTTGACATGAATCAACAAAGTCACGTCGGCCACACTGCTGACCTCGATGCGGACTGCCACAACCCATCCTTTCGCCACTTTGAAGATTACGATTCGTGTCTCACTGGATCAAGATGAGGGCTATTTTCTTGGTAATGGTGATGATGTATTCATTCGAAGAAAAGAAATGCTGCTAATCCGCGTGATTTTCATTCCCAAGACATATAGCATTAGGAATCACGTACTTATAACACAAAGTAGAGAAATTGTGTCCCTTTTCGATTTTACGCAAACGACTTCAGATGTTTCATGTGAGCCAGCGATTTCGGTTACTGCAAGACAATTTGCGATCAATCATAGATAAAAATCCTAGCTAACTGATATCAGAGGAGAAGTGAATGAATTGTATTGAATAAAACTTAATAACAATTGTACATTCAGGAGAATATATACAATAAGAATTATAAAAAGACTGTGAGTCATAATATGACTCAAATACAAAGAGCCATAATACTAGTTCTAATAATGATAACGAAAAAGTTAGCGCACCGTGCACCGGAGAAAGATATTGGAAGCGTACGAATAACGTGTTGTAATTAGTTGTTTGTGCCTGTTAGCTTTTAGCTCTTAACCAGTGGATAGTAAGATTTGATCAATAACATAAAGATAAAAAGAAAATATAGAACAAGAGATAGGGGAGAAAGTAGAGTCAAGATTTATTTCACTAGCATCTCTTACAAAGGAGATACAACATATATATAAGGAATAAGGTTCAAATTGGCCACTGAACGTAACCTGAAAATGCAATTATGCCACTGAACGAAAAAAAGTGCAATTAGGCCACTGAACACTCAAAAAATGTGCAATTTCACCTGATAGCAAGTTACCCTCAATTTTAGCAGGTTATCTGCTTACGTGGCAGCTGAGTTGGCATTTTTAATAAATTTTAAATAATTTTTAATAAATTTTAATAATAACTTTTTATTAAAAAAAATAAAAAAAAAATAAAAAAGACTTTATTTTATTTTTTTCCAATTTTTTATAAAATTTATTATTAAAATTAATTATTAAAAATTATTTAAAAATTATTAAAAATGCCAACTAAGCTGCCACGTAAGCAGGTAACCTGCTAAAATTGATGGTAACCTGTTATCCGGTAAAATTGCATAGGTTTGGAGAGTTCAGTGGCCTAATTGCACATTTTTTGAGTGTTCAATGGCCTAATTGCACTTTTTTTTTTTTCGTTCAGTGGCCTAATTGCATTTTCAGGTTACGTTCAGTGACCAATTTGAACCTTATTCCTATATATAATAATAAACTATAACGGAAATCATAATGAGGACATAAATATGTCCATTACATAATAATGTCCACTAAGTATATATATTTATAACACTAATAAATTAATAACTCTTAATAATAATTGAAACATATTAATATAGAAAATTTTCATATTAGTTATTTCTCAAAATTAAAATCTAAAATGATAAATTAAAAAGGATTAAAACAAACTAATAATATTAAAAATTAATATTTGATTATTATTAAAAGTACTAATATACATAAAATAATTTTTTAAAAAATAGATAGAAGGCTATATCAAACAAGTGATTTTATTACTTTGTCAAATATCAATATTGGGAAAAACGTCTCATTATTTACTTGTACTTACTGAGTAGTTCATTGAATTTTATAAACAAAATTTACGATATGCACAATTTTGGTACCATCTACACGCCTTTTCAAAATCCCAATTTATGTCGAGAAGAAAAGGAGAAACATCATTAGAAAGACATCTTTGAACTTGTTCTTCTATAAATTCATCGCTTATAGTGTCTTCAACAAGAGCAGGTGGAGGTGGAGGTAGAGGTGGAGGTGGAGGTAGAGGTGTATTATTGCATGCACACACTAATAAAGGTAAAACAATGCCTAACAGAAACATCACAATTATGTATTTGCAGCTCATAATTATTGATTATTAGTTTATTACTCTTATCCCTCTCTATTCTTTTATTTCTATTTTTGTGTGATCTTTGACAACTCTATTAGGTTGTGTGTGTGTATATATAATGCTTTTATGCATTATATATATATATATATATATATATATATATATATATAAAGTAACGAAAGTGCTGTTATTAACCACTTGTAAAATGAACAAATCATCATTAATTATCAATTCATTTACAACTGAATCTGATTTAGTCATAAATTTAAGTTAATGACATTAGAGTAAATGTTTATAATATTTCCTCAACAAAAATTCATATTCATTGTATATTTTTAATACACTATATTTATTATACATATTTATACATGTATTTTTTTTTAAAAAAAATATGTATTGTTTTTTTTTTTTTAGTACTATTGACCTTGTTAATCATTTCACGCCATTTGACGACAAGGTCTTTGACATTATACATGTATTGTTTAATTTTAGAATTTCAATAATTACACTAAAAAAAAAAATAGAGTACAATACGTATAACTTATTCACATAATTTCTAAAAGATTTAACTTGTTAAAGACTATATGACAGTACTTTTTTGAAAGCCATCAAAATTGGTATATTAAGTAATCAGAAGGTTCAGAAAAGGAGGAGGAATATCCCTCCAGTGACCACAAAGAATTCCATACTTCATTGGGCGTGCGACGATGTCACATAATAGCCTATAGCCATTTTTTTTTTACTGAATAACAACCCTTACTATCCCCATGCTAGTACCAAATATCATTATTATCATCACAAATAGGGGTTTGCAAAATTAGGCTAGCATCTCTCTGCTTAAACTGTAGCTGCACCAAGTCAACATTCCAAGAATTTGTGTCGGGGTCAATTAGATCACTAACCAATAAATTATGATTTTCCATGGTAGGTATGGAGAGCACATATAGGGATCCTGAGGATCAGGCAACCACGGATGTGACCAAATATTCGTACCTCTACCATCACCAATTCTGCTTCTCACCCCGGTCTTAATCAAGCCCTGACTAGCCATAACACTTCTCCAAACATAACTCGGGTTTCCTCCGACGGTGGCCTCAAAAAAAGTAATCCTGGGATAATACCTCGCTTTAAAAAGACGTGCCACAAGCCATGAAGGATTCGTAAGTAACCTCCACCCTGCTTAACTAATAAAGCCAAATTGAAATATTTGCCGACGTTTTTTCATACTCTAAATTATGTCATACAAAAGTTGGTAATAGTGACGAATATGTAATAAAATGTTGGCAAAAGTATGCACGACGAAGTTTAAAAAACGTTGTTAAATATAGTTTAAAAAACGAAGTTTAAAAAACGTTGAGAAATTGTCAAAAAATATTTATTGACAAAATTTAAATGTGTCATTAAATATATGTTTGTTGACGTTTTATATGTTGTTATCTTTGTCATGTATTATGTTATATCGGTGACGAATATTATGAAGTTCTTCCAAAAAAATCTATTGTTAAATTCAAAATGCATCAATAAATATTATGTTTTCTGGTGGTTGTAAATATTTTTATATGTTATGCACGTATTAAAACTAACTACAAAAAATTTATAATAATATATAATTAATAAATTTGATATGACTAGCATTAAAATATTGTAATATCGTATTGAATTATAAGGATATATATAGTTAAAACCTAAGTTTTTAATAGATTTGCTAACACCTCCGATACAATAAATATTAAAAAGAGCATTGATTTAGACTTGGGAATTGAAACTTCCAAGTTCTGCATAAGCTAGCTGCAGGTTCCTTTCACCGATAGAGAAAAACACAAGTTAATATGTCATTGACTACTTCATTAAGCAACAAAAAATCATTTAAATCTCTAATATTCATTAACCTTTTCAAGTAATAAATCTATTAAGCACAAATTAATCATATATAAATAAATTGCTATAACAAGAAGATGATTCCAGTAATGAATTATATTCTTTCACATTTGGAATTTTATGATATCTAAGGAAAAAAAACATACTTTGTATATTATTCAACTATTGATAACAAGTTCAAAACATATACCACTAAATTTAAATGAAAAAATCACAGACCTATACTCTAACTTGCATACAATCATGGTAATTAAGTTCTTCTCCATATAATATAATATAAAAGTAAAAGTAATTTTGGAAAAATATCTATTGTTTATAAATACTTTCAAATATATTCAACTATCAAAGTAAGAAAACATATCCAAAATGCACTATCCTAACAAGGTTTCTAATTAATAAATTATCATAAGTAAATTAAAAAAAATACTCACTTAATCTTTTTAAATTCTTGTTGAAGTTGGTGAGAGCGCTAATAGCTTCTTTAGCAAAAAGTCGTGTACAAAAGATGTTTCAACTCCTTCCAGCAATGGTGCAAAAGATACTTCAACTCCAAAAATACTAAATAATTATGGTTTGTTGATGACTCATTGTTCATTCACATAGCTTTTAACTCAAAAAGTTGATATTATATATGCCCTAAATCATACCCTAGCAAAGCCAATTAAAAAACAAAAAATTATGAGTTGGTTTACCTCAACTTATCATAAGACCTTGTAATTCTAAAACTTATCAAAAAAAAAAAAAAAAAAAAACAAACAAACAAACAAAAAAAAAACAAAACAAAACAAAAAACAAAACTTAAATTTAGTTGTGTACCTAGTACCTTACCTTGTAATTCACAAACAAAAAAAAAAAAAAAATAGTTACCAAGATCTATAATTCTGCAATTTTTTACATGTATTAGAGTTATTATAAGAAGTTCAATTCAATAATTAATAATAGTAATTTTAATTATATATATATATATATATATATATATATATATATATATATATATATATATATATATTATACTAGCCTTGGGCAGATCTCTCTGCTGCTAATACAGCAAGTAATTCTTCATACTTTTCATATCTTTCAAACTTCATTCTTTAGTTAGTATTTTCTTCCATTGTTGCTTTCAATTTTTCCTCAAGACGTGAATTGTTTGCTCGAGTTGGTGTAGATGTCATTGGTTTTGGCCCATTCCCCATTCTTTTAACATATCCTGATCTTTTGTCAATTACAACATCATAAACCTAATCAATAGTCATTGGGTTTCCTTCTACAACTGATCTGAAGTCTCAAGCATGTCCATCATTTTATTCTAAAAAATTGACGCATTCACTTAAATGAAAAAATATTATAGATCATAATAATAGTTGAAGACTAGTATTGCATAATGTTTCTAAAATCAAGACATAGTTCTCCTCAACTTCATTTGTAATTCACTTGCCATTCTTACAACGTGTGAACTTAAACAAAGCAATCCTATCAGGCAGAAAACACCCCTCTTCTTTTTGCCTCTATGGTAAAATAAATTAGCATTAATAAATTAATGTATATCTTAGATGAATCATAAGTGAAACTTGAATACATACGAGTTCATTAAAGACTAGTACAAATGTCGCACATCAAGAGTTTATCATACATTTCACCTAAAATATTAAGCATCACAACCATATAAATAATTTTATCAAGTAAAAAGTAGAACCATATAACTTATATTGAGAAAGAAAAAAATATGTACATCCCCTTTAGACGAATAATCACATAGCTCATTCTGATTATCACATGTTAGACCTTTAGGGACACGTAACTTTACCTCAGAGGTATATTTCAAGAACTCTTTGTGCAATGCATGCTAATTGTAGTTTCTATAGCGAACTTTCAAAATGTTGTCCACACTAGGAATGGCAATGGGGCGGTGTGGGTGTGGGGATATATCCCTCGCTCCCGCCCCCGCACCCGCATTCCCAACCCACTCCGCGCACCCGCACCCACATCCGCATGGGTAATCAAATTTCTACCCGATACCCGCCCCCGCGGGAATTTTGTGGGTGCGGGTAATACACAAATTGTTTAGCACATTCTTTAGCGTCAGCAGCCTTTTCACAGGCTAATTCTTTATTTTGTGAGTCTGTGCCGCCTGACTTTGTTTCAGCACTACTTGATTAATATATGCAGCGTTTTACTTAAAAAAAAAAAAAACTATGAAATACATGTAATAGTTAATATATAATTTATATTATTATATTTATTTTTAAAAATTGGGTTAGTTTGAGTTTTGGTCAAATATGGATAAAATTTTGGGCCAGTGAATCTTTCTATTCAATTTAAAATGAGAAATGTAGTGCATGATTAATCTCGGCAAATTATGTTGTGCATCCGTATGCCAAAAACGACGTCGTTTTAATAAAACGTGCGTCTCCCCTTAAAAAAAAATCAGGTTCGATTCCCAGCAACAACATATGAACTAAAATTTCATAATCGATGAACTATAATTCCATAATCGATGAACTATAATTCCATAATCGATGAACTATAATTCCATAATCTAATCTATGAACTAAAAATTCCAGAATGAATGAACTAAAATTCCATAATCTATAAACTAAAATTTCAGAATCGATGAACTACAATTCCATAATCGATGAACTATAATTCCATAATCAATGAACTATAATTCCATAATCTATGAACTAAAATTCCAGAATGAATGAACAATATAATGTTGTTGCTGGGAATCGAACCTGAATTTTTTTTAAAGGGTAGACGCGCATTTTTTAATAAAACGACGTCGTTCATAACTATCCATTAATCTCTCTCTCTTATGTTCACAAAAAATAAAAAAATAAAAATCTCTCTCTTATTAATTTTTCTTTAATTGTTTCTATTTATTTTTGTAATTAGTTAATAAATTTATAACTCTTAAAAATAATTGAAATATTTTAATGTATAAATTGTTAATATTAGTTATTCTCAGAATTAAAATCTAAAAATATAATTTAAATAAGGATTAAAACAAACTAATAATATTAAAAATTAATATTTAATTATAAAATATGTAATATACATAAAATATAAATTTTTAAAAAATAGATGCAAGTTGGTCATACCAAATAATTGACTTTATTACTTTATTGAAT